CTTTGTGCGTTTTATTGTCTGCACGTATGCCTGCTGCCCCTCTACCACTGAGCGCGTTTATCACCTTATTACCTATTACTGAATATGCTCGACGTTTGGGAAACGCATCGAGCATCGTTGGAGTTTACATTGCTCACGAAGGGTTGACGTATCCTTGTGTCTTGCGACTCCTTTCTAAAATGCGTGACCTCGCTTCTTCAATGTCGGCCCTGGTTATTATTCGTTTTGAGCGCAATTCCGAAATCGCGCCCCCACTGGGTACTTTGAGAACGATTGGTCGTGATTAGAAAAGGATAGTACTATGAATTCCATATGCTTGTAGAGAAGCAACATTTAAGGGTTGACCACCTGGTGAATGATTTCATAATAATTACTTTTTCTAATGACGACCAACCATTCTCAAAGTGCCCAGTGCACACGGAAGATTGTTGTTACCAGAATAAGCTGTACCAGAAGTGATAAGCATAGAAAAATAACGTACAGGTCTTGAGTTTTATGCAACCAGTCTCACATTTTTACATACTTATCTGGATCACCGAAAAACCTGTGACTAGTCGGTTTTATAACTATACTAGTACAAGTTTTTCAATAGCTTTGGTACAGGATTTTTCTGTCCCATGGATAGTTTATTTAATTTGTATACTGCGCATGGCTTTCTACTGTACCGCACATAGTACGTGCGCTTATATATAGTGGAGATATATATATGCATACATGTATGGGATTGTCAATCCATACAAATACACATAAGCGAGTTAATACACATATATTATATGCATGCATATATATCCGAACATGTTGATGAATATTCATTACAAGTATACTTATATATATTCAGCTCCCAGCCACATGATGGTTCTGTCGGTAGCGTGTCTGTCTACAGATCTTGATAGCCGGAGTTCAAATCCCACTCTGGACAAAAATTATTTATTAATAAATGAGGTTTTTTTCTGGGTGAAATTTGAGCTTCATTAAACCTACCCATTTCCCTACCATTTCACATACCGTAAATTAACCAACGTATGGCTAAATACACTATACAGTAATGAAATAGCTATGTCTGAGCCCCTTCTATACAAGAGGCGATGACGAAATAAAAAAAAAAGTATACAGCTACGTCTGTATGTATGTATATATACTGACATTATGAATGCTCCCACTGGCCGACTAACTTTCTGTACTGGTACAGGTAAAACCCGTACCACGTATCGGATTTTGACGTACTAAGCATAAGGTTTAGCTATACTCAATAAGATACTTTAAAGTATACTACCGTATCAAATATACCTGTACCAGTACACATTTTTCTTGTACAGAGTATCGAAAATACTTGTACTAACATATAGAACCTGTTTTTCTGGTAACAACAATCTTCCGTGCAGGCACGATCTCGGAATTGTGCTCAAAGCAAATAATCCGTTGGATATTGATCCTGCCCCCTATAACAATCACCCCTATTTGTACTATTATTTCTGTTTCTATTATCAAAACTTTGATTCACTCAGTTTGGCCTGTTATAATTACCTGCATAACCATTCTGTGGCCACTGGTTGATGTAAGGATGGTTATTATTGTTGTTCTTATAGTTATTATTATTATGATTATTATTATTATCATAGTTGTTATTACTAGGGCGCCTGTTACTACCATGCTTGTATTTTTTTGCTGTTGAAAATAATTAATATTACTAAAGAAGTTGAGACCATTTCGCCACGTAACATGAGTTATTATACGCAGTTCCGTTCTTGTACCCCCTACGGTAGATCCTTTGCACGGTTCGTCGAGTGGTTTATTGGGATTTATTATTTTTCCAGTTGGTGCATCTTCATACAGCTTTTTGCATTCTATAGTAGTGTGTTTGTAGTGTCATTTGCAAAATAAACACCATATATCATCTTCGTTGAACCCACTCACTTCGTACTCTGTGTCTGTGCTTTTCATTGATACATTATTAGTTGCTAATGTACCTATTTTTAAATACCGCTTATCTCTGTGGTAACTTTCCTGTGTTGCACAGGAATTTTACGGTCCTTGCCCCGTGTTAAGCAAGGATATCACATTGTCTACGCTTGTGGTGGCTTCTATAGCTTTCTCTATCGTCTCCGGCTTAAGTCCAGCTATATTCCGACTCCATGGTGCCCTGAGGCCGTATATAATTTGTTTAGCAGCTTTCCTATCTAAATTTTTCTTCAGTATTGTCTTCTCTATTTCCCCCAGGTGTGGATTTAAATCATGGGTCATCATGATTTTATTATATAATCTTTGCGCCCAGCTGCAGCATTGTGTAACCGATTCACTTGGATACTGCGTTAACATTTTCAATTCTGCTAACAGCGTCTGCGGGCCCCCCATGCTTCCAAATCGTCGGGAGAGAGCAAGTAAAAATTCATCGACCGTATTAAATAGTGAAAGCCGTGATCGAAACTAATCTGCAGCTATACCCTTTAACTTATTTCCTAATGTCCCTATAAAATATTTTTCAAATGGCCGCGGAATTGTTGTTTTCGTTACCTGTACTATCTCTTTAAATAGCGGAAAGTTAATTGGGTCCCCGTTAAATATTGCGATGCCTCCCGATGCGCTATTTACCTGAGATAATATGTTGTGTGCATCCGAAGGCTGCGTGTATTCGGCTTGCTGGTGTACTATGAGGTTGATATGTATCACATCTAGTTGAATCGGATGTTGTTCGTGTAGAAGAAATTTCCTATTTACATTATTTCTTCGCAGGGGGGGAATCAAATAACAATGCCCTTTGTTGATATCCTGCACCTTGGTTTCGTACCCCTGTCAGTTTGTCGACAGGTCCCGAAATACCTAATAGCTGGGTACGTGCAAATCCCCTGTACCCTTGTGCCGTAAGCTCTTCGGTAATTTGCAGGGTTTTTTGTTGTGTTCTTCGTTGTGCATTGAAATATCTAATTTTTTCATGTGTACTGCCCCGTCCCTCGTGTAGGAGCTTATTACCTTTCTGGCCCCATATCCCACTTCTTTCGAGAATGACTCACCTCCTACGGTATTACCCATATTAAAATTTTCTGAACTCAGCCATGCTGCTTGAACAGTCATTGGGGCAATCTTTTCTTTCACAATATTTAGTTTCATTTTTTTCAAAAATTTTAGCATAAAAAGTCACCGTTTTTTGTTTATTTTTTTCCAATCTTTTTGGGATTCCGGACTATATTCTAAAAATACAGTCAGCATTTGTGACTCTGACTTATTTTCCGGATACAAAAGAATTTCGTCCTCTCTAATACTCATTGCATCACTTTACACTTCGTCAAAATTTTCCATTGTAGGTAATTTACTATTCTCTTCCATTTTTCTTCATTTCCTGCATTTATAAGAGCGCTTCAACACTGATTGATTTCTGTAAAATTCCTTGCGTTCCTATTTCACGATGGTGAACCCATTTTATTTTTAAAGAGTATAAACAACTTTACGGGCAATGCTGTTCAAATTTTATTATGCCGTGACGATGTTCCGACTACACTTTGGCAGTCTTTTTCAAGTCTAAATTCGACGTTGACAAAAATATTACTGAGCAAAGTCAATCAATATAAGTTACATCTTTTCTTGCTCGTAAGTAATGACTGTCTACGTCATCAAGCACATCGAGTATTAGCCATATTTATCTATGGGTAGATTGCTAGCACGCAGCACTGATGAGTTCCAGCTAGCGATCGAGGGCAAAAGGATTCCCCTCCTCAGTCTCCTATTTCTTAGTTGTACGTTTAATGCACTCTAAGCTTTTAATAGAAGCGCCAAGAATGAATTTTAACAGACGTGGAACTTGCTTAGCATGGAGAAAAAACATATGAATGTGTGGGTGCAATACAGTTGTACGCAAACATACGTAAATAAATAATTATGCTTAGATAATCGATAAGAGAGTTGGAGTTTTGTTTAATAAAAATTGTCTGTTACATAATATAAAATTGTTAAGACCTAAAATTTTTTNGTCTATACAGAGCGGTCTACAGTTGTCAACTGCGATCTCGAGTATCTGGCATAGTTGGGTATTATATTCGTCCTACTGGTTTCTACATCTTTCCTCATCATCATCACGCACACGTGTATCTGGGAGTCACCTTTTTGGGGTTAATTTCTCTCACGCTTTCCTTTTTTTTATCATCATCGTCATCTGCATCATCTTCGAGAAGCTCGGCGTGCTGCGAGTAAAGTTAAAACAAAAAAGTTATTATTTCTTATTTTGATAATTTTTAAGAAAATTACAAAAACTATGAATCTATTAGTAAACTTGAGTTTAGACTATTAAAAACAAGGAAAAGATATGGATTTTAAGCTTCAAAAATTTAATGTTGTCAATTCACCATCCAAACATATCAGTTTTATTTCAGTGAAAAATTAATTTTCACTTTTCAGCATAAACAAATACTTAATTTATGATAACATTTGGGGAAAAATATTTTTTTCTGCATTAATATACAAACGTTATGGGTGAATCAATAAATTTATCCTGGTGAGTTTAAGATTTCCTTGGACGTTCGTTTGGTTAGTTAATCCACCTTTTTATAGGTAAGTTGACTAGTTAAATAAATAATAATCGTGAGTTGTTGTTTCAAACACCAAATTTGAAAGATTAACTACCTGATTTGCGATAATACTGATTACAACTTACGTGCGTTGGACACAACTTGTAAAAAAATTAAATACTGAAAAGTAGTTAGTTGCAACGAGAATCTACAAACAAATATGGAATAGCTGAAAAAGAAACAAAAAAAGACTTAAAATTATCATCAAGACAGTCATATTATATTGTATGAAAATATTGTAGAATAACTATAAGTAATTAATAGTATTCTTGAAGAGATAAACATATGAATAAAGACAGTATGTGTAGTATAGTAAATGTTTATATTACTTTTGTTTATCTGCATTTTACGAATTTTTATTTTATTTACAATATTTATTACAATGTCTGTCTTAAATATAATAAATTAAAAATCTCTAGAAAATACGTAAAACATAAAATTGACCGATATTCACAAATTAAAAGTTTTACAATAAAATATTCACAGGGTAAGTCACTTTTTTTTAGGAATTTCATAGTTGGCTTTTGGTCTTTACAGACTAAATGTTAAATATAACGTGAAGTTTACTTCCGCTTTTTAGGAGCGAATTCTAAACCCTTTACGTAGTTCTTTTGAATACGATATTTTTCTAGAAAAGTAAAAACATTTATATTTCTAATTTATGTCTCTAATTAATATCAGACAGTTAGAATCTGTAAAACTTACCGATTAACAGTTTATACACGTATAAAACTTGATTTCCTTGAACTAATACGCTCGGTGTCTTTTTACCTGGAACATCAGTTATAGTGGTACTTGCACCTATACCCTGACAATCTTTTGCAAAATCTTCCAGCTTGATACCAAAAGTTTCTAAATTGTTGATTAAAGTCACCTGAAAGGAAAAACGTTATTTTAAATTGTAACTTATTTATTCAAACACTAATATACACACCATGCTGATTACATATTAAATAATTAAATATGATTTTTAGAAAAATATTTTTTTATTAGGGCACTTTCTGCAATTTCATTTTTAAGTAACAATTGTTAAAAAATTGTATGCAATTAGTAGTAGATAGTCGCTATAATGGTTTGAAATAAACTGTCTTACAAATTTTAATGTTATAAAAATGTGAGTTTTTAAAAATTTTAATTTTAGGAGATGCAAGTACATTTTTATTGGT